CATGATAACTGCGCGATTTAAAACCTAATTTGAAAATCAAGCTAGCGTTTTTGTCAAAGCCGTAAATAAAATATATTTTTCAAATACAAATAGATACTTAACGTGGTTTTTGAACTTGAGAATATACGTATATATACAGGGTGACTTTGAAGTTGAGTCATTAATTTTCAGATAATGATTGTAGAAGGAAGATAAACCAAAATATGTGTGTAAAAACAAAAAAAAAATTAAAAAAAATTTTACCTTGTTTTATAAAGTATCCTCCCGACAAGTATTTCAGTGCGGACCTGTATTTGATCGTGAGGTCCCCTGTGAGGTCTTAAGTCACCTGATTCACGAGCCCGTTGTACTACATTAACAAAGGCACGAGGGGTTGGTTGCACTCGATTGGGAAACCGATCCGCATAAACATGTGCCATTTTTTATTTCGTTTGAGCCACGCAACAGACACTATTCACACGCGACTGAAACTGACTGTATGTATAACTGAACTGAATTGTAATCGTAAAAACATCGTTCCAAATTCTTTCGCTTTTTTGTTTCCGATGCGATGAACCGTTGTTGCCAAACACGAACACATGATATTATTGAGACAGGGCGGTACTCAAACTTCCAAAGGGCTATAACTTTGTTACTTTAATTTTACCAGAAAAATGGTAAAGGAAAAAAACATTTCTTTTGATCAGATCTACACACTGTTAAAATAAATGACTCAACTTCGAAGTCACCCTGTATATATATAGGGTGTTCCATAATTATTGCGACAAAATGATAGGGGTTGTAGAGGGCATCAAAATGAACAATTTTTCCCTATAAACCCCTGTTCGGAAATATGCCGATTGGGCTGCAGCAAAAAAAAAAGATCAGTTTCTTGAAACAGCTTACCTACAGTAATTGCTCAAAGTGTCCTCCACCTTACTCAATACACAGCTGTGCACGATTGTTCAATGATCGGCGAACTCTGTGGCATACCCCCGGTATGTCCTGAACATGTGCGGACACGGCCATCACTCTTCCCAGTAGCTCTTGTTGGTTGGGAACAGGAGTTTCGTACACTAAAGCTTTCAGATAGCTCCAGATAAAATAATCCAGTGGGGTCAGGTCAAGTGACCGCGCAGGCCAAGGCACAGGGCCACCTCGGCCTATCCACCTATTTGGAAATTTGTCGTCCAAATACTGCCGCACTTGTAAAGAAAAGTGGGCTGGACCGCCATGGTGTTGAAACCACATGTTGGCTCTTATATTCAGTGGCACATTTTGTAATAGTTCCGGTAGCACATGCTGTAAGGATCGACCATAAGCATGCCCATCCAAACGTGGTGGAAGCAGATATGGCCCGATGATATGCTCGTCCACAATGCCGCACCAGATGTTAATTGAAAACTGATGTTGGTCTCTATGGATGGCTATGGCATGAGGGTTTTCTTCATCCCAAATGTGACTGTTATGGCTATTAAAATAACCGTCCTTTGTAAAACAGGACTCGTCAGTGAACAAAACGTAGCGACCAAAGTTTGGTTGCCTCAACTCCTGCTGCAGCCACCAACGGCAAAAACGTCGACGCGGCAGATAGTCTGCTGGACCCATGGCTTGGACTTTTAAAAGGTGGTACGGGTGTACGATAACAAAAATGTAAACACAGCAGGCTTTTTTTACAAACCGGTGAGACCATGAAATGTGCTAGACGAACATTTTGCAGCTGGTGAATTTTTTGTTTCTCCTATGAGCTCTTAAGGTAAAATTAACTGTAGTGCTCAAACGGCATATTTACGAACAGGGGTTTATAAGGCAAAATTGCATATTTTTATGCCCTCTACAACCCCTATCATTTTGTCGCAATAATTATGGAACACCCTGTATATATATATATATATTATACATCCGTGATCTTATAATATGCTCATTTACTTTAAAAAGTGCCACAAGCCGAAACATGTCCAGAAATAATTTTTCTTTTTTAATCCGCATCTTTCTGGATTCCTATTGTTGCAATTTTGGACTGTTGATGTGGATATTTCTAGAGCATCGGTGTCGCTTAAATAGAAACAAAGAACTTTAAACATATTTCATATATGTTTAACTTATAACCTCTGTAATGAATAATACTTACATTATACAGCATTTCAAAATTACATTTCACCTATTGAATTACCAATGGTGTTCATCAACTTCATCATTATCATCATCGTCACTGTCGTCATCAGTTTCGCTGTCGTCATCTTGCCCTATAGTTATTATAACTGGTTCCATTTCCTCCATAAATTGATCATTTTTCCAAAATTTATCTTCAATGTCCCTAACATGTTGACAAAATTTCTGCCAATCATTAATGGATATTAAGGACATCGCTTCCTGAGTAACTTCTTTCAGTGCGGTTAAACTGAAGTTTCCAGTGGTATTGCGGCTTCTTATATGAAATTTATGCTTTGCCCAAGCTAATTCTATTGGGTTTAGCTCGCATAAATAAGGAGGTGTTCTTAGAGGAGTATGTCCATGTGATCTTATGATCCGATCAAATACATAATTTTTTTGGTTGTCAGGGGGCTTACGAAGTAAGACCAGATCGAACAAGTAAAATTTTCTGGCAGTTGCCTCATGATTTATGCCTATAAAATATTTTATTGTATAGTTTGATATGTACATGCATGTTTTGAGTCATAAGTACCTTTCATTGTCAACCAGGCCATTATATCTTTTTTCGAAGATGATTTTGTCGGGGTTTTATCTTCCTGGACGGAATGATATGGGGCATTGTCAAATACGGTAACCGAATTGGCAGGTATATTCGGGAGGAGTTTTTCGGTGAGCCAGCGTGTGAAATTTTCCCGATTCATCTGACCGTGGTAATCGCCTGTAGCTAATCCCGCCTTAAATATCAAACAGGCATTGTCAACAAATCGATTTTCTGAACCTGCATGCACTATAATGAGTCGACCTAAAATATACAAGACGATTATATAATATGTTACAAATCAGAGTTAAATTTAAGATATATATAGCATTTTTGCTTACCTGTAGAACCTATACTGCTTATTACACCAGAAACAGTTTCGCTCTGCCAGCATTTTTTGAAAGTCAAGTCATTTTCCACCCAGGTTTCGTCCAAATAAACAATATTGTGCCCTTCTTCACGATATCTACGTATCTCACGGATGTATTTGTACCTCCATTGCAATATATTAGGCCTCTATCAAAACTTTTCTTACATTTTTTTACTCCTGAGTGTTTCCCTAGAATAGAGGAAATTTGAGTCTTCTCTCAACTTTTGTAATAACTTCCTAGTTGTCGGGATAACTGTATATTCAAGATAAAATCTGTTTATCAAATGTCTAGTAATCTGAAAATCAAAATCTTCATCTTTCTCAACAAGAGACTGACCCGGTCTTTTTTTCCCGGGACTGGATAACATTTTATTGGGGTATTTTCTAGTCTTTCTTTATCTTCGTTATGAATTTTCCTAACAGAAGATACTCCGAATCCGGTATAAACGGACACCCTATCAAGCTTACGTTTAAGCAGCAACTTGAGGGAATTGTTTGCCGCTTCCTCATCGCAAACCCTATAAATAATCATCAGAATGTTAGCTTAGCATTTCCTTGTTTTTTATTTATATTCAGTCTCAGTCGTCAAAAACTACAATTATTGCATATTATTATTAAAAACCTATAAACATTCGCAATCACTTCTGTTGTTTGGCTATGAAGCGTCTTTCCGCGAGTAAATTGGTTCATTTTAAAAAAATAATACTAAAACGAATAACAATAACAAATAACAAAACACTAAACTATTCAAAAACACACAGCACTAAACATACAAACTTAATAGAACAATAAATAGTTAACAATAATAGTTGTAAAACTCATACACGATCAACGGAGATAAAACCTACGCCACTGGACTTTTCAATAGTATGGATATTCCAAGAAAGGAGCAAAAAATTGTCTGGGACGCTACCCAATAGGGAGTCGAATTTTCTCATGGCGACAAAACATGTGAGGATATCCGCCAATCAGATTCGTTCAGGCGGTGTCCAATATACCTTTCGGGTGGTTGTTGCCAGCTCAACCGATGTCGATAAGATCTTTGGAAAAATGTTTACTTATAATACGATTCAGTAGTAAAAAATAGTTATTAAATACAAATAGAGCTAACAACCTATTAAAATACTCAGTATTTTGAATTATTATTTTTTGGAATTGTGAAAAATCGATTTTCAAATCATTGAAATTACTTCATTACTGCTTTTTTGTAGTTAAATTTGGCAATATCGAATATTTTCGGTCGCATTCCTTTCGCTGTTGCAGATCCGTTTGCCAAACTTTACGTCGTCGGCAACTTCACGTGGTCACTTCAGAACATTACGAACGTTGTTGGCGTCGGTATCAGTCGAGTATGATCTTTTCAACTTGTGTTGTAAAAAATGGACGATGAAACAATTTTAACTCTTCTTTTACTCGAAAAGGAGGAGGATGACGATTACTTAATACGGATGTCACTAAAGAAAAAGAGACGAGGAAAGCACGAGTTATTTGTGAAGAGAAACAAAGAAGGTTGTTTTAACTTGCTGCTGAACCACTTTTGTAATAACGATACCAAGTTTATAGAATATTTTCGAGTATCCGAGGAACAATTTACACGTGTGCTGAAACTAATTGAAAACGATATAACCAGACAACCATCAAAAAGATACCGTAATCCCATTTTTGCTGCAGAAAAATTAGGTGTAACAGTAAGGTAAGGTATTTAATATTTTTGTAAGTTTTATTATTTAATTTCATATTATACAACATGTTACAACCAAGTAAAATTCGAATCATCAGTTGATGACATCGGAGTCGAAACATGCAGTGTCTGTGGTGTATTTGATGTCATCGGCGTTGCAACATAATGGTTCGATACTGTCATAGCACTCGAATTATCGGATGACACTGGAGCTGCAACATATGGGGTTTGTGGTGTACCAAGTTGAATCTCTCTCTCTATGACCAACTGACAGACTTTTAGTCGAATGTCTGCCTGGTCACGTAGTGGAAAAGTTTCGACAACATCAGCCATCGAGTCAAAAAATTTTCGTATTGTGATGGCTGTAGTGGAGAATGTTTTTCAAGAATCTTTTTATATACTAGAGATCGTTCGTCTTCTCTTTTATTTAGTAATTCTAGTGTTGAATCATGTCTACTTTTTTTGTGTTTTGGTGTTTGGATATTTTTAGGGCGATGTTGTTCTGCATTATCTTTCTTTTGCATTTGCCTTTGTGTGTTTTCTTGCATGTTCTTATGTGTATCGTCGAATGAATGTTGTATGTCCTCTTGTATTTCATCTTGCGTGACTTCTTGTCCATTGTTTTGCATGTCATCTTGAATGTTTTCTTGCATAGGCGATGATATCTGCTGACACGCTGATTAACTTGTTTTAGTTTTGCTACAAATTGGTATAAATGATACTAAAGTAGACAGGGAAGTTAAAAACTAGATTAAATTGGAATTAAACTAAACAGTGTGCCCCGAAATATGAAAAAAAATATTTAGTATATTTTTAACTAGCTGTTCGATAATATTTCACTCTAACGAAATAAAAAAATTCATACCGTCTATCATGTACACTGTCTGATAAAAATGACATCAGTGTTCGGTATTCCCAACTTGTATCTACTCTTGCTGATCCAGTTATATAATATATATAATCTTTTTTCTTTTTGTTGTATTGGTCTCGAAGACTTTTCCAACGTTTTTTGCATTCTGAAAGTAATAAGTTTGTAATATTAATTTGATTTTTTTTTCAGGTATTTGGCTACTGGAGAAAGCATGCGGTCACTTGCTTTTCAATTTCGAATATCACATAACTACATATCCATAATCATGAGACAGACGTTAAAAGTCTTGTGCGAACATCTAGTACCTCTATATTTACCGACTGTTACAGAAGATATTTAAAAAAAAGTTTATGTCTAAGTGGAATTTTCCTTGTTGCGGTGCTATTGACGGTAAACACTGCCGTATAAGGTGTCCTCCCAATTCAGGGTCTCTTTATTTTAATTACAAGAAATGTTTCTCTATTATTTTATTAGCTATAGTAGACGCCGACTGTAGTGTGGATATTGGTTCCTATGGAAAAGGAGGTGATAGTGGTATATTTTTAAAGTCGGTTATGGGAAGACACATTGAAAATGAGACCTTTCCATTCCCCCCTGACTTACAATTGCCTGGCTCAAATATATTTTTACCTCAGTTTTTAGTCGGAAATGGCGGATTTAAGTTGCTTCCCCGTTTAATGAAACCATACCCTTTTACTCAATGCCAAGAAGATGTTGAGAAAAGGCAATTTAATATCGCCTGAGCAGAGCTCGCAGAACCGTCGAAAGTGGATTTGGCATTTTGGCAAACACATTTAGAGTTTTTCATACACCTATACATATGGAACCCGATACCATAGACAGTCTGATTATGGTATCCTGTTGTCTATATAATATGTTGATATCAGATAAAAATACTGGAAACATTCATAATTTGCAAGACAGTAAAGAAATGCCTACCGAAAATATACGACCTATGCGACGTACGAGTGGAACTGAAGTAGTTTCAGCAGTACTTATTAGAAATGAACTAAAACAATACCTATGTTTACCACAGGGAAGATTGACTTGGCAAGATGCCCATATATAAAACAATACATTTATGTATTCATTAATTTATATTTAATTGGTAAAATAAATAATTTTTAAAAACTTACCTGACATATCAATCATTTCACTTATTTTTTCCCAACATTTGTGTTTTTCAATATTGTTTTTGTAATTCTTATCACTGGCATCATATATTTACCTGTTGCTTTTGACCAATTCAATTACCAATTCGTCTTTTTCTCTTTTATTAATAAATCGACTCATTGCGCAAGGTTAAAAACGCGTGCAGTAGGTATACTTTATCTGAAGTCACTTGAAACACTGTGAAATACCGAGTGCGTTTTATATATCTATATTTAACACGCTCTGTTGCTGCAAAAATCGCCAAATTTCGCAGCAAATATCCCCCGTATAAGAGATCAAAGGCAGTTTCACCGGTCCACGTAGAGTAAAGCACGCCTATGCGTGGACATAGCCAATGAGAAAGCGTGTATTTCAGAGCTCGGAACAAGTGCAGGTGGCTACTGAAAATTGAAACAGTTTAGCCAGTGCCGTGTAGCGGTGAATAAACGTGGTTTCTTTAGTCTGTCCGTGTTTTTTCATAGATTTTATTAGTTTGTGTGTTTTTGACTTTTGAATACTCAGTTTACTTGTTGATTTAATTGTTGTGTTGATTGTTCTTGGGTGTCCTAAATATGGCTCTTTGGAGACCTTGGGAAAATGCTCCAAGCCACAAGGAGATGGTTGATGAGCCTGTGCAGGCAGAATTCTTTCATAAAGATTTAGAGGAACAGACCCAAAGAGTAATCCTAAATATGTATGATTGTCTGAAAAACGAAAATCCAGATTCCTCGCAAAATCAAATTTTAAACAGAATTTGTATCCTGACAAAAATCAGTCGGTCTACCATTTATCGGGTTATGAAAAGGGGAGATGTAGTCAACCATTCCTTCCACAGAAAGCGCATAGGGCAAAAATTAAAAAGAATAGACGTGGGTTTTCAGGAAGATATTCGTCGTATAATATACGGATTTTATAAAGAAAATTTGGTGCCCACGTTGGAAATGATACGGGATAAATTAAAAGATTATCCTGAAGATTTTTATAATTACAAATGCTTAGACTCACAGCACTGTATTGTAAAACTGTGTGGTTTTCAATACAAAAAATTAGATAAAAGAATGGTGATTATGGAGTCGTGTCGAATCGTTGAATTGCGCCAAGAATTTTTGCACAAAGTTAAAATCTATAGAGAGCAGAAAAGAAATCTGATTTACCTGGATGAAACGTGGTATGATACCCATGATGTTGTGCAGTACGGCTGGGTTTCCATTTCTTAACTTTCAGTCAACATAAATTAAACTCCCAATATAAGTATTTTTTATCCCAAATCAAAAAAATAAGAAGATAGTAAAATCCATTTATTGTGATATAAAAACATTATTATTATCGTTCTAAATAAATCACCGCACGCCTATGATACGTCATGAAATTACAAAGGACGCGACGACCAAAGGTTTTTATGCTATTTCAAGTGACTTCAGATATACAGCAGTTGCCCGTCGCGTTCGGCGTACAATAAGAGACCGCATCCATTATTTATTACAGTTATCATACATGGCGTAACGCTGTGCGCGGCCTACGGCGTTTATTGGAGACCACCGCCTTAGGCTTAGTTCAGACGCGCGTCGGCGTTGCGCACGTTTGTTGTATCGGTGTTCAGATGGCATGCGTATGTACGAGTTCGTACAACTTTTATATAGAGTGAGACTAGGTGATGGAGTGTCAGTTTATTGTGTTTAATTGATGAGAATGGATGTGGGAGAAGCTTTTTGTATTTGGTTAGCATATAGAAGTAAACGACGTAGGACGGAACAAACATACTGGGTTCACCCAATTTTAAGGAATAGCTTTTCTACAGGTTTATACCTTACACTGTATCCTAGCCTTCAAAAGCATGAATCTAAAAACTTGATGATGCCATACGGTGTAAAAACGCTATCACATGAAAAAAAAAGTATTTAACTATAGGTTAACATTAGCACACCGCTATGTTGAATGCACGTTTGGTATTTCTTGTAACAAATGGCGAATATTACACGGGCCATTGGATGTAAACATAGAATTAGAGTATTGTTAAGGCAATATGTATTTTACAAAATTACGTACGAATTAATGATGGATGGATAAAGGATGCAGATAGGGTTCGAGTAAAATTGACAAAGTACTTTGTGAATGAAGGGAAATTGGAATGGAAGGATAGAATGATCTAAATTGTTGTCTTTATTGTGAACATCAATTATAAATAAAACATTACGAACAAAAAAATTAGGACCATTTCCTCCCAGGCGCTTCTCTTTGCCGTCTTATTTGAGTATAACGTGGAATGCATGTGCCAAATCACTGACATCTTTTTAATTTCATCAATAAAAAGATCGGTGTTGAATTGTTCTACTTCAGCATCCCATTGCCTGTTCAGTTGGCACGCGTCTTTCTTAGCATTCAGGCGACATACCAGGTGTGTCTTGCAAAAAAATATTTCCTTAAGTATGCTAGTTAGTGAAATGGAAGTAGAATAATTCAACACCGATCTTTTCATTGATGAAATCAAAAAGAGGTCAGTGATTTGGGACATGCATTCCACGTTATACTCAAATAAGACAGCATGACATACATTTTGCTCGACGTGGCTTCGGTGGCTTCCTCTGAAACTGTTTGCTATATTTTATTCAGTTGATTGAAATGATAATATGAATTATCAGGAGATGTTTGTTACAAGTTTGGTATTTAAATATTTTGAAAAAATACAAGTTTAGGTTAGGCTATACAACAACGTTAGCAACTTTATAAATTGATTACAACCGTCAACGGCAGCGTTACGGTAACGGTACGCCGGAGGTACACCACGTCAGAATTTATAAATCGCCAGCTTAGTTTTTGAAAGGAAAATTTATTCAATGCAAGCAGATTTTATGGATTCATTACCAATAAATCCTCAGAAAAAGTACATACATTTTCGTAAAACAGGCTATATTCTTGAAACGCCAATTGTGAATACAAGTATATTATACCAAATGAAAGATTTCAGTCCTCTAAAAAAATATTTAATGAACTGTAATAGGGCAGAAGAGAGTTGCGAGAGGGTATATCAAGTGATTAGGGCAGTGTTCCCATCCTTCTATTACTTACGGCCTAATTTTCAATCACATTTTTTATTGCAAAAACCATTACATTAGGCTCAAGTTCATGTGCATTGGTTAAGTCATATGGTATCATCCTAAACTGAAAAAAGGACAGTGAATGCCGTATACTCGCTCAAAGGTACTTGCCAAAAGGCAGATTTAATATTTATGGAACTAATGAATCGAGCATTTCATATTCTATCCAAAACAGTTGAAATATACGGAATAGGCCACGCATCTTTCTTAGTGACTAGATTTAATCGCCGGAAATCTGTACGAAATCTAAAGGATCCATCGTTTTTACGGACAAGACAATCTGGACTATTCCAAGGGCTATTCTATGTCTCTATCACGCCAAATTTAAGCATCTCTTCAACTTCTTCATCAACAAATTTTTGTTTATAGGGAGACACCTCATAATAACGTTGCTTAATCGGTTTCGTTCCTGACTATAGAATAATCTCATGTTCTGCTACCCTACAACAACCAAGGCCTTTACCCATCTGCGAAAGATTTTCACTAACCAAGTTGTCCGAGTTTTCTCAGAAGATTTTAAATGACTCATATTCTGCACACTACAGATTTGTGCAAGATCGGTAGATTTAGAAAAATGCCAAACATCCTGCTTAAGATCAGGCACGATTTCCATTGCCTTCCAGAAATCTATACCCAAGATTATTTTATGCGATGGTTCAGGGAGTACAACCACATCGATTTATCAGAGTTATAGGAGTTTAGATACAACCTATAGTATGACACACTGGACCATTCGCCACAGTACATGCACTTTGTTGTTTGCTTAATTTAGGATCCATGCCAAGTAAACCCAACATATCGATTTTAAGGTAACGACGTTGATCTCCATGGGCATGTGAAACAAAATAATCGAGAAGAATTTTGTTTAGAAAATCAAGGGTCTTGGCCATTAAAGGTATTGAGTGGGAAGATATAGCACGACCTAACGATTCCCCCGGCATTCGTTTCCCGAACTACTACAATCGGGACATGTTCTAATGGTTACATTTAGTGCCCCACAGCGATAACAGTGAGTTTTCCTCGGGTTAGGACAATTTCGATTCATATGTCCTACTTGTTGGCAATTCCAACAAGTAACCCTACGCGATGAATTGTTTTGGGAGACCTCAGATGCCTCACTGACCTTAGCAACTTTATTTAAATTTTCAGGTTCGCGAGAAGTCGAATAATAGGGACCTTCCGTTTCTATAAATAATGCAGTCAGGCTCAACAAACTGTTGACGCTTTCGAAATGGAGGTATCTTCAAGTATCTTCAAAACAACTGAGCAAATTTGAAGAAACTTAGGCTAGTTGAAAAGAGCTATTCTTGGGCTACAAGTGTTATAATATTCAAAGTTTTGTTAGTTGCACATGTTGCCGCTAGAGGGCTTTTGTCGACATTCCGTCAGAAATGGATAATTTTCTCACAAAATTAAACGCATTGGTATGATTTTTTTATGAAAAAGTAACTAAATGACCTAACCTAAAATTTAGAATATAAATATATATATATATATATATACATATATAGGTGAAAAATTAAAGCTTCCGCCTTTTGTTGGGTACTTCGACAAAATTTAAGCAAAGAGGACTCTTTATACTTTTTTTAATTCTCTCTAGCTTTCAATGGACTTTGCCATCATCATCAGGAGAGTAGTATGTGAGGATGTTGCTAATTGTTGTTTTCGTATAGGATGAGGGAAACGTCCAGTAACATGGTGAGAGCTGGATACATGGTTCAATGCTTAAAATTATACAGGGTGACTTTGAAGTTGAGTCATTAATTTTCAGATAATGATTGTAGAAGGAAGATAAACCAGAATATGTGTGTAAAAATAAAAAAAAATTAAAAAAAAATTTTTACCTTGTTTTATAAAGTATCCTCCCGACAAGTATTTCAGTGCGGACCTGTATTTGATCGTGAGGTCCCCTGTGAGGTCTTAAGTCACCTGATTCACGAGCCCGTTGTACTACATTAACAAAGGCACGAGGGGTTGGTTGCACTCGATTAGGAAACCGATCCGCATAAACATGTGCCATTTTTTATTTCGTTTGAGCCACGCAACAGACACTATTCACACGCTAACCGACAGACACTGAC